TAAATAAAAAAACTAATACAAAATAAAATCAAAATTAAAAGTAAATGTCAATCCCACAGAATGTTTGAACTTGTAATTTAGAATAAACACATTTCACGACCCTTCAGCAGAGTTTGGAGGCAGTGGCAGAGACGGGAATATCATCAGAGGACGCAGCGAAGACCCTGGAGCAGCAGCAGGCGGCTCCCTGCACTGAGCTGCAGGTTCCGGCCAATCACAACCAGGAGGAGGCCAGCACAGACGACCAGGGCGGGAGCCGCTTGTATCTGTCAGGTACTAAATTTCACTCTCCTGGTTCTTCCTTCCTGCTGCTGTCAGACTGTACAATGAGAACTGCTGAGCCAGGACAGGTGCCATTCTCCTGTTCTGATAGTCCACTAGTCACTTTACCTGCTGCTATTATTACTAACACCATTACTTTATTACATATACATGGCCTGCATGTAAAAGCCAGATCTCGTCAGACCTCTGAAGCTAAGCAGGGCAGGGTGTGGTTAATACTGTCATGGGCACTGTCAACATTGACATTGAAATCCCCACTGAGGGACGAACAAAACTATATTTATTCTGCTGCTTTGTTTTCAGAAGTTTTGGAATCCTTCATGGCCACTCGTGAAGCGATGCACGTGCAACAGAACGTGACCGTTTACGAGTCCTTCGGCACGTCTCGCCCCGAGGAGAGTCCTGGCAGTCCGGCGCTGGAGTCCAACCTGGAGCAGAACTCGGACAAACACCAAAGCTCAGAGCAAAGCTTGTCCTATCACGCTGCGTGCCATCTGGTGGTGTCACGCTGCCTCTTTCTCTTACTGGGAGTCCGAGCGGCGTGGGTGGAACCGAGCGAAAGGGAAGCTAGTCCGACTACGAACTCTGCAGCAAGGTCTGGTTTGAGTATGTAATTGATATGACATCGTTCATGCGCAATCATCAATAACGCACGGAACGCCGCCCAAAAATGATCAATATACCAAGCAAAGCACCTTATCATTACACACCAAGTATAGAATGTTAACATAAAAGATATAGAATATTATTATATGACTTGGACCGTAAGCGCGCTCTGATTGGCTGATTACCGGTCTGATATTTTCCCATCTCGGACCGTTACCATGACAGTTGGTCCGAACAGCGCGTATCACATTTGATATCTTTCCTCGGACCGTTACCATGACAATCTGTTCACAGCGCGTATCACACAAAACCAAGTCGGACATGAACATGCTTCACAAATATCTCAAAAGCATTGGTAAAGACACAGACGAGAGTCATATAATAAAACATTTATTAACCTTGCTTGGTCTGTGCAGAGAAATATCAGACCTTGGCCTTTGTGCACAGACCTCGCCACGGCTCGGTCTGTACATTAAGGCCGCGGTCTGATATTCCTCCATACAGACCTCGACCTCGGTTAATAAGCCGTTATTATTCATCATACGCAGGAGGAATGAGGAGCACAACACAAGATAAATAAATAATAACGAATTAAAATAAAATAAAATCTCTAACTTTAGCATAACAAATAGGCAAAAGCAAAATATTTAGCTTTAGCATAATAATGAAACAAGTATAACAAAACTCTAGCTTTAGCATGATAAAAAAGCTAGAATTAAGCATTAAATCTCTGACTGTAGCACAATAAGAAATAGGTATAAAGTCTTTAGCATATTATAGAAGTAAGTATAAAATATGTTATACTCTAGTGCAAGAAATATATAGTTGTATGAAAAGCAAAATTCACATAAATGTTTTTTTTAAATCTGTCTTGTTTTGTTCATCACTTTGAGTTGTCTTGTGTTTGAACTGTTCTATACAAATAAACTTGCTTTTCCTTCTTTGAATTTTCAGAAATGCTGCGGACGACTCGTGGCTGTTTCCTGATGGTCAAAAACATGTGAGATATATCACTTTGGCATTTGTTGATGTTATTATCTTAATGCTTTTAACAAAATGCCATTATTTTCAGACGGGTCAAATAAAAAACAAGCATTTGTGTCTAAAGAGTTCAATAGGTAAGAAGTTTGTATTTTCTGGACTATAAGCTTCTACTTTTTTCCAGTACTTTGAACCCGGGGGGCTTATATAGCGATGCGGCTAATATGTGTATTTCATTGTGGTGATAAGTTTAGGGATTTATTTTTTTGACTCCATTAAGTTTTTGTAGCTATAAGACACTTGTTTTTTGACGAAATAAGAAAAGATACCTGAAGGGCTATAACAACTCGTTCTTGTTCTATGTCTTATGTGTATTTTCAATGTAGCAGCCTGTGAGTCCAAGACAAATCTCCTCCAGGACATATTAAATGAATCTTGAATCTTGAAACTTGAACATACTGTAGACGGGGAATGAGTACAGATATGGATGCTAACGGTTCAGCTGTCAAACACTTATTTTTCTAACCATGTTATTAAATCTTGTGACCAGTGAAAACATCTATCTGCTACATTACAGCATGAAAACCGTCGGCTTATATTCAAACGCGGCTTATATGTGGACAAAATGTACTTTTCTTTTAAAATTTAGCCGGTGAGGTTTATAGAGAACATTCTGATTGTGTTAAAACAAGATTCTTCAATGGGACAAAACCATTTAGTCTTTTTTCAAGAACTTTATTTTCTCATTCCAAGGGAGACATTTCTTATATCTTTTTAAAACAAGATAATTTTATTTGTCCCATTGGTAAATCTTGTTTTAACACAGTCAGAATGAGCTCAAGTTAAGATACACTTTTAGCATTTTATTACTTATTTTGTATCACTTTTTGCGGTGGACATTACAACATGAAAACTGAGGCTTATATATGTTAAAATATAAAATATTGCTGGTGCAGCTTATACAAAGGTGCGCCTTATAGTCCAAAAAGTGCAGTTACCATTTGACCGTTGTATTGGACTATCTTTTGTCTAATGTTTTGTTATTCTCAGCTCTCCCCCTGTGCTCTCTTGGCGTAATGAAAGAAGCTTGGGATCGCTTGAGGCAGTGCATGGGTCCAACCACGTCCCTGACTCACGACGGCAGCAACACGTCTTTTATCGTGAATCAGGTTTTTGACTTTGTTTGTGGGAGTCTGGTCCACGTGCCGGACGCGTCTTCAACGTGGTGCAGTGAACAGACCTGTGCTCTGGCCGACCCCAAAGCCATAACGTCTGCGATACTACAGCAACAGCAGAGGGCAGAGGTGAGTCATGGTCGTGTGATGTATACTCACAGCTGAACAGAACCAGATTTTTGCTGCATCTGCAATACTGAATTTCCAAGTTTCATTAATTTATGTTTAAGGCTTAGAAAGTTCTTTTAATAAGTTTCAGCGGTAGACTTTCCCCTGTGACTCTTAACAGCTGTTGTTAAGGTAAGTCTCACAGATGGAACAGGTCCGTCAGATAGACCACGCCCCCCTGTGGCCCCTGGAGAAGTGAGTCCCAAGTGTGAGCCAAGGTGAAGGCCCCTTCGTCTCTGTTGATGGTCCGAAAGCCCCACAATTGCCTCTCCAACTGTCTATTGTGTGTACTTGGTTTAAGGAATTGTTATGTCAATGTTTTATCTTATTTTTACTTGTATAACTTGGTTGCACTGAGAGCCAAAGCAATTTCCTAGTTTGTGACTTCTTGTTACTCACAATGGCAATGGAAAGATTTCTGATTCTGGTATCCATCTTTTGTGTTTATCTTTTTCTGTTCCTAAGAGTTGGAGCAAAATAGTTCAAACATTAGTCAAACCAGACAAAAATAAATACAAAAAGATGGATACGAGAGGCGATTGAAATCTGGAAGCGGGGCACACTGGCCATCAACAGGGCTGAGGGGGCCTTCACCTTGGCTCACACTTGGGACTCACTTCTCCAGAGACCACAGGGGGTGTGTGCAGTCTGACGAATCTGTCCAATCTGTCAGGTTATAACAGCTGATAAGAGACACGTCTTTCGCCCAAACATGTAATAATTAAGCAGTACTAGCTTCTTTACACTTTTGTCTTGATAAAAAGAACCTTCACATAAGAACCTTAAACATTAACAAAAACATAATGATTTTTTACATTTAACCAAAACAAACACATTTTGTTGACAGATGCGACTTGAAGCTCTGCGTCAGATGTCGTCTTTCTTGAGTAAATTAGAAGAAAAAGGAAACGGTGTGACGTGCTCCACGGCACTGCTGCAGTCTGTTCAGCTGCAGTTCCTCTGCGGCTGCTTTGGTTTGGGAACACACGTTATCAGCTTCCACACTGGGGCGGACTATGAAACACAACATTACATGGTAACTATTGACCTAGTACTTATTACTTTAATGACTTTAATCACATAATTAAAACCACAGCCCTAGGTAAATGTTTATTTTTTCTGATCTAGATTGTTATGCTCACTGGTTTTTAGATGAGACTTAAAATATGCAGGGACAGGGCCTTCTCTGTGGTCCCTGGGGGATATTGCCTCTGTGGTCTTAACTAAAGCTGGCAGACCGGTGTATTTCAATGTGTTACCTTTGTCTCTGTGCAGCACTTTAAAAATCACATACTTAAAACCACGTTCCTTGATAAATGTGTTTTGTTTCTTCTGATCTAGACTGGTATTTGCTCAGCTTCAATTGACACACAAAGAGCTCTCCAGTCTGCAGCTCACAAGTTTTACCAACAGGTTGTGTGCACCCTCAGACAAAGAGTCATTTTGGAAAAAGAAAATCCAGGTTAGTAAATGATTCACATAGTAACGTAAACTCTGCTAACACACTTCTCTTTTCTGATTCAGGCTCCTGTCAACACCTACTACTGGCTTCGATGTTTGCACTAAATTTCTGTTACCAGCCCTTGGACCTGGCGCTCGTCATCAAATGTGGCATCCTCGAAGTTCTGTCTTTGTTTACGAACAACAGTTGTTACCAGATGAGCCAGTGCTGGTTTGCTGCATCAGCCCCAGCTCATGCTCTGCTCAGTGGGGCCGTTAAATTGGCTTGTGGACGCTTGCTTCAGATTTTAATAATGGCGGCAAGGTGAGTGTGTGCGTCTGTTCATCCAACTCTACCACCTGCCTCGCGCTCTGAGGTCCAAGGGCCAGATCCAGCTCGTGGTTCCACAGATGGGGCTTAAAACCCAGGGGGCCAAGTCCTTCTCTGTGGTCTTAAACCCAGGGAGATAGGGCCTTTTCTATGCCTTCTTTGATGTCTCAAACATGCGGGACAGGGCCTTCTCTGTGGTCTTCTCTGTGGTTTTAAACCCAGGGAGATAGGGCCTTTTCTATGCCTTCTTTGATGTCTCAAACATGTGGGACAGGGCCTTCTCTGTGGTCTTCTCTGTGGTCTTAAACCTGCGGGAGACAGAACCTTTTCTGTGGTCTTAAACCCAGGGAGATAGGGCCTTTTCTATGCCTTCTTTGATGTCTCAAACCTGGGGGACAAGGCCTTCTCTGTGGTCTTCTCTGTGGTCTTAAGAACCTTTTCTGTGGTCTTAAACCAGATGGGACAGGGCCTTCTCTGTGGTCTTAAACCAGATGGGACAGGGCCTTCTCTGTGGTCTTAAACCAGATGGGACAGGGCCTTCTCTGTGGTCCTAAACCAGATGGGACAGGGCCTTCTCTGTGGTCTTAAACGCTTATACCCGGACTCTCTGATTATTATCCTGGGGGATTTTAATAAGGGAAACTTGAGCCAGGAATTACCCAAATACAGACAGTTTATCAAATGCCCGACCAGAGAGGAGAACACTCTGGATCACTGTTACACCACCGTGCGCGGAGCTTTTCGCGCTGTTCCCAAGCCAGCCCTCGGCTTCTCAGATCACTCCATGATACATCTGGTTCCTGCTTACAGACAGAGACTAAAGCTCTCGAAACCTGCAGTGAGGAGCTCCAAAGTGTGGTCTGATGAAGCTGTGGAAGAGCTGCGCGCATGCATGGAATCTACAGACTGGGACCTTTTCAGAGCTGCCACAGACAGCTTGGATGAATATACGGACACTGTGACGTCATACATCCACTTCTGTGAGGATAGCATCATTCCAACAAGGACCAGGGTCATCTATAACAACGACAAACCCTGGTTCACTGCTAAACTCCGGCAGCTCAGGAAAGCAAAGGAGTCTGCTTTCAGGGAGGGGGACCGCAGCGGCTACAAAGCAGCTAAATATCAGTTCAGGAAAGAACTGAAAGCAGCCAAGTCCCGGCACAGAGAACGACTACAGGAGCAGTTTGGTAACAACGATACTGCTTCTGTCTGGAGGGGCCTACGGGAGATCACCAACTACAAACCCAAAGCCCCCCCCTGTGCTGATGACCACAAGCTAGCTGACGATCTGAACTTATTTTTCAGTCGCTTTGATGCTGCCCCTGACACCTCTCCCTCCCCCACCCCCCACTACTCTAACGACCCACCCATCAGCCCTGCCCCCAGCCTAACAATAGCCGCTAAAGAGATTAAACAACTCTTCCTGAGGCTGCACCCCCGCAAAGCTCCTGGCCCGGACCACGTGTCTCCGGCCACTCTGAGACACTGCGCCAGTGAGCTTACTCCTGTGTTCACGGACATTTTCAACTCCTCTCTGCAGTCCTGCCATGTCCCGGCCTGCTTCAAATCCTCCATCATTGTCCCCGTCCCGAAGAAGCCCAGGATCACAGGTCTCAATGACTACAGACCTGTAGCACTTACGTCTGTCGTCATGAAGTCATTTGAACGCCTGGTTCTCTCCCATCTCAAGTCCCTCACCTCCCCCCTCCTGGACCCCCTGCAGTTCGCCTACAGAGCCAACAGATCTGTAGACGACGCCATTAACCTGGCCCTCCACCACATCCTACAGCACCTGGACTCCCCGGGGACCTACGCCAGGGTCCTGTTCGTGGACTTCAGCTCTGCCTTCAACACAATCCTGCCATCCCTGCTCCAGGACAAGCTCTCCCAGCTCAACGTGCCCGATTCCACCTGCAGGTGGATCACTGACTTCCTGACGGACAGGAAGCAGCGAGTGCGTCTGGGGAAGAATGTCTCGGACTCTCGGATTATAAATACAGGAGCCCCACAGGGCTGTGTTCTTTCTCCCCTGCTCTTCTCCCTGTACACCAACCACTGCACCTCCAGCCACGACTCCGTGAAGCTGATCAAGTTCGCGGACGACACCACCCTCATTGGACTCATCTCCAACAACGATGAGTCCGCCTACAGGAGGGAGGTGGACCGGCTGGTGTCCTGGTGCAGTGGTAACAACCTGGAGCTGAACGCCCAGAAGACAGTGGAGATGATTGTGGACTTCAGGAAGAGCACTGTCCCCCCGCCCCCACCCTCCGTGATGGACTCCCCCATCACCTCTGTGGAGTCCTTCCGTTTCCTGGGCACCACCATCACCCAGGACCTCAAGTGGGAGCCGACCATCAGCTCCCTCATCAAGAAGGCCCAGCAGAGGATGTACTTCCTGCGGCAGCTCAGGAAAGCCAAGCTGCCTGCACAGATGTTGGTGCAGTTCTACACGGCCATCATCGAGTCCATCCTCACCTCCTCCATCACCGTGTGGTTCGCTGGAGCCACAGTCAGGGACAAACAGAGACTACAGCGCATTGTGCGCTCTGCAGAGGAAGTGATCGGCCGCAGCCTTCCATCGCTGCAGGACCTGTACGTCGCCCGAGCTCGAGGCCGGGCTGGTCGTATCACAGCCGACCCCTCTCACCCTGCACATGGACTATTCCAACCACTCCCCTCAGGCAGGAGGCTGCGGTCCATCAGGACTAGAACCTCCCGCCACAAGAACAGTTTCTTCCCCTCTGCTGTTGGACTCTTGAACACTTCTTAACCTGTCCCCCGCCCTTTATAAAGTCACTTTACTGCCCATCATACGTCACTTTACTTCACTGTACTGCTGTCACCTTACATTGTGTGCACCATGTGCACTTGTATATTGTAAATAGTAACTGTAACTCTATTTTAAATTTAAATTTATTCTTTAGAAGTGTTTTTTATTCTTATTTTTATTATCTCTTTTTGACTGTTGCACTGAGCCAAAGCAATTTCCAAGTCTGTGACCTCCCGTTACTTACGTTGGCAATAAAAATGATTCTGATTCTGATTCTGATTCTGATTAAACCAGATGGGACAGGGCCTTCTCTGTGGTCTTAAACCAGATGGGACAGGGCCTTCTCTGTGGTCTTAAATCCTAAAACTAAAACTGGCAGACCTGTATTTTTCATTGTCACTTTAGTCTCTGTGCAGCACTTTGGAAATGTGTTTTATAAATGATGCTTTATATAAATCAAGTGGATTTGATTGTTTGGTTTGCAAAATACAAATATGACGTCATATTTCACATCTTGCTTTCTTTCTCCAGCTCCTGTGAGGACTCTTTACCCATCGAGATTTCAATCGAGCTCATGGAGGTCATGTGTGAACAGCTCCGAAGTATCCTCTCCACTTTCCAGCTACCTCAGGCTACGGAGAAAGGCACCGGCGATTCACAGGATCTCAATTCCCTTAGCGCTGAGAAAACTGGTGAAAAAACATATACAGTGTTTGAACCGCTTTATCTTTTGATTTAAAACAATGACAAAATAATAGTTGGTTATTTCAGGACTGGAAAGCAGCAGAGTGGTGGAATCCCAGCTGGCAGACTTTCTGGTGTTCTGGAGGCGGGTCCTCTCCTCAAGAGTGGTGCGAGGTCGTTCCATGTTTGTAAAGTGCGTTGAGCCACTTTTAGCCATAATATCACACAAGAGTTCTACAGGTAATGTACCAAAACCTCTGTTAGGAATGAGTTAGAAGCATGAGCGTATAACCAAAGTCAAAAACATTGCTCATACACACAGCAACTCAAAGTTCTTAACAATACCAGATAGAAATTCAATTCAATGTATTTTGGTACAGCCATAAATCACAGCAGAGGACATTAGGACGTTGTCGATTCGCCAACACAGATCAGAGAATAAAACAGTTCAAACACAGAGAATGATAAAAAACTCAAGAGTCTCTGGTCCATAAAGGGCAGATGACCAATGGCCATAATTGTTTTTAGAAGTCCATAGATGGTGTTGAATACTGAGTGTCCTGGATCCACTGTCCTTCGACCCTCCAGCATCGGCAAGAAAAAACACTAATAACATCCATCCATCCATCCATTTTCTACCCTTTAATCCATTTCTGGGTCAGGGGGGTGGGTCAGAGATGCCACCCAAGTCTCATAGCACCAGCCCCTCACTGACCCTCTGCAGGTGGTGAGTCCACAGGAGGACGGCTGCTCCCTGAGTGTGAGCATAGCCTTGATCTTTCAGTGGGGGCTTTGGGCAAAGTGGGGTTAAGTGTCTTGCCCAAGGACACAACGACAGCAGTCATCAGTGGGAGTCGGTGGAGAAGGTGCAGAGGTGGGAATTGAACCCACGACCTTCTGGCCTAAAGGCCAATGCTCTACCAACTGAGCTACTGTCGCCCACACTAATAACAAGGCTTTTAAATCATAAATAATCACAGTGCATTAAAAAGAGTGAAGATAGATAGAGACTTTATTAATCCCCGTTGGAGAAATTCAGGTGTCCAGATAAAAAATGAAATTGATCATTCTAAAAAGCTATGGTAATAATCAGCAACAGCCCTTCAGGTCAGAGCAGCAGGTGGAGTAGCCTCTGGGTGGAGCAGGACGGGTCACAAGGTGGAGTAGCCACTTGGTTTGGACCATTTTCTCTGCTCTAGTCCAAAGTAAAACGCTGAATACCTCATTGGCATTTTTCAAAAAGTTAGCATTCATCCAGTGGATTCTCATCTGATCCACTTGGTTCGGACCATGGATCCTTTCCGCTCTGGTCTGGACCAGTGCAAAACCATGAACACTGTACTGTAGCAACATCTTAGGTAGAAAAAAGAAAGAAAAATAAAATGTATAAAGCACAAAACAACAACTGTTTCAGAGCTACATAGGACCTGCTGCCGATTTCCAGCGCATTCAAAGGTAAAAAAATAAATAAAAATAGCCTCCTCATGTAAAATAGAGATAAGAGATTAAAATAAAAATAGAGATAGCCTCCTCATGTCTTACTAATTTATATTTAAGGTTTAGAAGGCTCTTTTAATACGTGTATAGAAGCTAGTACTGCCTAAGTACCCCATGATTATACTTCTGTTGTGATGGTGACACGTGATGGTGTGACGTGCCTCTGATCAACTGTTGTTACTGGATGCGGCCGGTCTGACAGATTCGTCAAACTGACCACGCCCCCGCCGCCCTGTGGTCTCTGGAGAAGTGAGTCCCAAGTGTGAGCCAAGGTATAGGCCCCTTTGTCTCTGTTTATGGTCCGTTTGCCCCGTTAGTTTACAGCTAGCTAATAAACAACTGTAGCATTAACAACAACGCAGCTACTTATATTGTATGTTTTGTGTGCTTCCTGTGTGCTCTTACTACTGCCATGTATGTATAAAAATGTACCCACTCTGGGACAAATAAATCCCGTCTATTGCCCCAAACATGTGGTAATTAAGCGGTACTAGCTTCTTTACACTCTCTGTCTGTTTTAAGCCATGAGCATAGAATAACTCTACTTGAATGCCTTTTTCAGGTTCTCCATGCTCTCACAGCCTTCGCACACAGCTCTTGGCCTTCCACATTTTGGAGAAAGTTTTACCTGCTTGTTCTGAAGCAGATCAAATTCAAAAGGTGCGTTCAAGCTGTTTCCACCACATTCAAACTCATTGCTACCATGTGATATGTATTTTATTTTTTCTTCTCTTTTCAGATTGTCAAACAACTCTTTCAGCTTCTGTCTGTTTACATGTGGGAAGAGCCGGTGACGGAAAAGAAACATGGGGAAACTCTTGATGTTCCTACCAGGGTAAAAGAAATCAAAGCTGCTAGCAAAATCTTTCTCAAACTTTACCTGCTTCTGGATCTTTGTTCATATAACAGGTCACTTACTTGTTTGTTCTCAGAATCCTGGTGGCTTTGAAGAATGTATTGCAATCGGGGAGTTTTCCTTTGATCCAAACAAGTTAATCTGCTGCACCTTAGAGAGTGGAAGTATTCTGTCCCATGGCGCCGGTGGGAAAGGCTACGGCTTGGCAACAACTGCAATTACGTCTGGTTGTTTTATATGGAAGGTACGATTATTTATTATTATTATTATTTTGGTAGCACTTTAGATTAGCCCCCACTAATTAACAGCTAATTTAGTGCTAATTGACCCAAACCCAAAATCTAACCCTTAATGGTGCGTTCAGACCAAACGCG